GTAAGTTTAAAATTACAAATGTCTTTTCCAACTTAAATCATTGTTGTAAAAAGAGTTTCTATGACAGTAAAACAGCTGATGATATAAAAGATGCCGACTCCCAAAGTATGTGCAAACAGTTGTTGAAATCATTGAAATGCCTTCTCTATAGTGATAAAGGCAAATCATCTATTACCCCAGAAGTGTGGTGTTCCTATTTTAAGAATTTGTTAAACCCGGAACAAAGAACTGAATATTTGCTGTTTGATCAACCCGTTTCAGATTTTATTTAAAGCGAATTGTTATCTAGTCGTGTTACGGATAAAGAAATCAAAGGCACTTTTGCGGAATTAAAGATGGGGAAAGCACCAGGAGAGGACGGCATACCGCCTGAAGTTTTTAAAGTATCTTATGATTATTTTCTACCTCTTCTAGTCTTGTTATTTAACAAAGTTCTTGATAGCGGAGTGTTTCCTGAGAGTTTTAATCTAGACATGATATTACCATTATACAAAAGTGGAGTTAAAACGGATCCCAACAACTAGAGGGGCATTTCTCTTTTGAACATCGTGGGGAAGGTTTTTATGTCTATTCTAGAAAAAACGCCTTAGAATCTGGATAGAGTTAAATAACCTTATTTCAGAATCTCAAGCTGGTTTTCGTTCTCATTATTCTACTATTGATCATATCTTTACGTTACATGCATCATGTTCCAAATATCTATGTAAGCCAAAAGGCAGATTTCATTGTGTATTCATTGATTTTAGAAAGACGTTTGATTATTTTGACAGGAAAAAAATGCTATATTAACTCTAACAAAAAGGATGCAATGGTAAAACGTACAACCTGTTAAAACGTTTGTATATATGCATCTATGAAAACAGGTGCAAAGATCGGTTGCTTTAACACATCTACTGGGGCAAGACAAGGCTGTGTTTTGAGCCCTGTCTTATTCATATTCTTTGTTAATGAGCTTGTGCTAGAAATGTATGCTTCTTGTGATCATGGTACATTTGTAACCCAAAATATTGAAAATACTCTTATTTACCGATGACAGTACTTTTCCTGTATAGTGTTCGGGGCTTGCAGGTACAGCTTGACATTTTAAAAACATATTGTTTGAAATGGGGATTGTGAGTAGATCTTGATAAATCAAATGTTATTGTATTTAGAATTGGAGGGATAATAACTCAGTATAAAGCTTGTGCACCGGATAATGTGAAGAGATAGATGGTAATGAACTATAAATATCTTGGAATTATGTTCTTCTCACGAGTAATATGGTCTAAAGCATGTGAAACTCTTGCCATGCAAGCACGGGAGGCAATAGGGCCAGCTTTTCATTTGTTCCGTAATAACAGATGTATAGATTTCTAGACTGCTTGTAATATGTTTGACAGTGCAATCTCTCCAATGTTGATGTATGGTTCGGAAATATGGGGTATTAAATATCATGAGATAATTGAAAAGATATAAACATGCTTGTTTAGACATTGTCTTGGTGTGGGTAGTTTGCAGCAAACAAAGCCATTCTGGGCGCAACTGTTTAATGTTTATCAATACACAAATAAGGGTAATTAAGTGCAGGATAAAGCATTTGCGAATGAATGCAAGTCGATACCAAAGGTATGTTGTGCTTAAAGTATGAAGTATGTGCTTAAAGCATGAAAGAGATCATACTGCATTGTGCCTGGTCACACTCGACAGGTCATGCACATTGTGTGGCGTTACTGCAGCGTGTCCATGTAAACGACATCGATATCACATCATCATCATCATCTTCTATGCATCGACGGAAGGTGATTTCAACACCTTGTTAAGGAACGTTTTCATTCGTTAGCAATGTAAGTCACACGGTATACACGCTGCGTTGTAGACAAGACTAGTTCCCGATGTCGGTTGTGAAGGTATTAATGACTTTGTTGCTACAGTTTCCTTGATGAGATCCTCGTGATAAGATATAGGTCACTAATAATGGTGTTACAATCTGGTTGTCATTCGCTGTGGCTTCTTTGTTTATTGAAAACGTTAATTTTGTAAATGTTCTGGACCGTTTGGTGTCATCACTGTTTTTCAGGAATCCATTCATATTTTGTCATCGTTCTATTTCCTTTGACGCCCAATGGAATCAGATCCTGGTCACTCTCTGGCGTCGACAGTTTATATATTTACTGATCACACATGATAAATATAGGGTTTTGAAGTCAATAATCCACGATAATGCATCAAGCCTGAAACATCCCTTTTGACAGTTAATATTGAGTTAATCGTCGTGCTTATTGCCTACTTCCTGATGCGTTCCTGCAGATATTGACAGAATGCTGCTCTTTGGATCAATCGTTGTACCTGCTGACGCTTTGTCGTCTTTGTTCCACAACGCCTGTTGACGAAATCTTGTAACGTCAGTGTTATAAACACGTGGATCTGATTGTCTGATCGTCTTGACACCTGAAGGGGGCACGGATGGCCCGCGATTCGCTGTGCAGAGTTGCGTCCCTTGGGCACGCCAGAAACCTATGATTGTGGGTTCGAATCCCAGTTCCCCTCTATGTTTCTAGGTTTGTCAGCACCACAGCACCATACCCATGCTCCTGGGTTTAACCAAAGTGGTAAACGTCTGAGACCTGCATCACTTCGGGTTTTCCTCCCATATTAAGCTGACACGCCGTGATATAACTGGAATACTGTTAAAAGCGGTGTTAAACCCAACTCACTCACTCATTCACTAGACACCTGAAACCCCTTGTCTCTATGCAACAACAAAGCGGCATTAGACTAATAACATTGCAGTTGAGATAACATGTCGCCGGAATTAGGAATACTAAAACTGTTTGTGATTGTTTATCCTCCGACAAAAGGGTAATGAAATATGTTTGACGTCAACCTTGATATTAGACTGAAAGGAGTGTAATAGCTCAGTCTTCAGGGCGCCACACATTATCCAACATGGTAATAACTTCCCAGCTTCTAGTTATAGTCGCCGTCTGTCGGTGCTTCTCTTTGATGGGACCCACCACACAACAACAATACTGAGTGTTTCACTTCCAGATGAAAGCCGTTTATCGGAAGTAAAATCTCTCAGACATGATTATTTTTAGATCAAGACGTAGTATTGAGTGAGTGAGTGTGTGATTTGGGTTTAACGCCGCTTTTAACAGTATTCTAGTTATATCACGGCGTGTCAGCTTAATGTGGGAGGAAAGCCCGAAGGGATGCAAGTCTCAGACGTTTACCACCTCGCTGAAACCCACGAGCACGGGTATGGTGCTGACAAATCTAGAAACATAATCGTAGTATTGACAATGCAGACTCTGTATTGTATAGCCAAGCAGGTTTGTCATAGGTTGATGCCCCGATACAGTCATCTTGAGAACAGTATAGATACTGGGCCTGTGCCTGTTGTTTTGTTTGTTGTTCATCAGCATAAATCTACGCAATTGGGATACGATGACATGCATCAACCAAGTCAGCGAGCCTGGCTACCTGTTCCCGTTAGTCGCCTCTTACGACAAGCATAGTCGCCTTTCACGGCAAGCACCGGTTTCTGAAGACCTATTCTACCCCGGATCTTCACGGGCCAGTAGTAGTAGTAGTAAGTAGTGGAAAGAAAGAGACTTTCGGGGTATGAACGACATCTGTCCATGAGTAAACGTCGTGCTATCCTACCCAGCAAAGACACCCACGTGATCCCAGCACTGATAAGGTGGTTGTGCTGTGTCAGTCGTCACAGTGATTGTCAAGCTATTGACATAGACATATATATTCTGTATTTCGTCATCCGGACTCTCAGATAATATCCTTTGATGCCATGGAGCCCAGGTTTTGACGAAGCACTCGCACGGAGCACCTCTCTGTTGTCATCATGATACCCGGCCCAAGCTGCGGGTCGGCCATTTGTCGCAACAGGTACATGGTTGTGCTCTCTGACACGATGGGTGTAGAAACTGATGTCTCGTTTGAGAAATAGGACCAGCCATAGTTGATTGTCAGCGTGATTCTTGGCAACATTAAACTGTGGCATATACACATACCCGTGTACCTTCGCCAATTTATGTAAGTGCAGGAAGCATGTAAAATATATATTACGACGCTTCAGCGCTACAGCGCTTTGACATTGACAGGTTTAGGTTGGATCATTGGGTTATGGCCACGTGTCGCCTCTTAGTGAGTGAGTATAGTTTTACGCCGCTTTTAGCAATATTCCAGCAATATCACGGCGGGGGACACCTGAAATGGGCTTCACACATTGTACCCATGTCGGGAATCGAACCCGGGTCTTCGGCGTAACGAGCGAACGCTTTAACCAGGCTACCTGACCTGGTCTAGGCTACCCGACCGCCCCGAGCCTCTTAGTGAGTGTGTGAGTGAGTATGGTTTTAGGCCGCGTTTAGCAGTATTCCAGCAATATGAGGTCGGGGGACACAAGACATGGGCTTTCACACATTGTCCGTCGCCTCTTAGTGGTAGTAGTTTTTTTGTTTGTTACTTAACGCCGCACTCAGCAATATTCCAGCTATATGGCGGCGGACTGTAAATAATCGAGTCTGGACCAGACAATTTAGTGATTGACATCATGAGTATCAATCTACGCAATTGGGATCAATGACATACATCAACCAAGTCAGCGAGCCTGAACACCCGATCCCGTTAGTCGCCTATTACGAAAAGCATAGTCACCTTTTACGGCAAGCATGGGTTGCTGAAGACCTATTCTGCCCCGGTAGTGGTAGTGGTAGTGGTAGTGGTAGTGGTAGTGGTAGTGGCAGAGGTAGTGGTGGTAGTAGTATGTTCTTGGTCAGTCTCACCTGCACGTTGTCAGTCTACATCTGCACGTGGTCAGTCTACACCTGCACGTGGTCAGTTAACACCTGCACGTGGGGTTTCACCAACGAGGTCTACGTGTAAGGCCTGCATGGCGTCCTGCTCCCGTCCTACAGACCTGTCAGCTGACAGACCGGGGTTTAGCCGAAGTACTGCCATAAAGAAAATACTTGTGTTTCTGTAATGGTCAAGAATGCGGAGGCATGAAATGGCATTTCAGTTTATTTCTCTACATTTCACCTGCAATACATGCTTTGTTTATTGTATTTTACAAAGCAGCAACCACACTGTACATTAACGCCCATAATCACATACTGTTGCTGCAAAAACATCATCAACTCACTTTATGGCATCTGTCTACAGAAGCGAAGGTAGCGAAATGTTTAAGATGTGCAAATAAGTCACATGTGTTTAATCGGCTTCAGTACAAAGCTAGAAACTGAAGGCCATTGGTGGCTTTGTCGTTTAAGGTGCTTCCGTGCTCTGGAATTCCCTTCCAGTGGAAATTAGGCAATCTCCAACTCTGGACACTTTCAAGACAAAACTAAAGACTTATCTCTTTAGATGTGTCTATGACCCTGTGTGAGGCGCTATGAGCGACTACGTAGACGGGAATGGCGCTGAAGAAATGGACCCCATTATTATTACCCATGTTTAGAATCAAACCCGGGTCTTCGGCGTGACGAGCGAACGCTTTAACCACTAGGCTATCCGACCGCCCATTGATTACTTGTCCCACATTAAGCTGACATACCGTGATATAGTCGATTTACTGTGGCGTTAAACCAAGCTCCCGCTCTCCCAACAAACAAATCAATCACATCGACAATACTGACTCCACAACGCGTCTTGTTAAGCATGTGGTGTTGTGTAGAGTTATTCCACGGGTACATGCATAAGCCAGAACATAACACGAAGTTGAAGAGAATACCGCCAATAGGATTAATAGCTCACCTGATCTCTTGCTGGAATATGTGCTATATTACATAATAAAAGTCATCAAGGGTTAACAAAAATAAACATCATTCTGTGAATACCTGGCTGGGTACAAGGCCACAGTGACATGTTAGATGCAATGTGATTGCAAGGACTCACATCGGCATATTCAACTGTTAAAATTGTGCCAATTATCAAAATACAAGATACAGTAAACTACGGTTATAACGAACTCAAATGGACTACTACTTTTAGTTCATTATAACCGTAGTTCGTTATAAGCAAATATATAGCATAACTACAGCAAATAGTCGGGACTAAAAAGTTAGTTCGTTATATCCGTCAGTTCGTTATAAGCGTGTTCGTTATAACCGTAGTTTACTGTACAACACATCATTGGCCCACTACAAACTTACTGCAAGGCAGGGTGGTCAGGCTTGTTTGATGCATGCCTGGGTATCTCAATTGCAGGGATCGATGCTCAACAACTGGATTGTCTGGTCCAGATTCTATTATTTACAAACCGCCGTCATGGCTGGAATATTTCGGCATTGAATAACAAACAAACAAACAAAACATTATGCAAGTGACGGGGATGAGGGGTTAAAGTACAAATATAGCCACCATTTTATGGGCACAAAGTCGGACAGGCTTCTGATAAATATTTTTATTTTGATAACTCCAGGAGAACTTTTCCGTATGGCTGCCACCAGTCGTTTCTACTACGCCCTGTTCACTGCCAAACCGCACTCATGCTGAAGGAAAGATTCTGTGTTGTGTATAATCCATCGGAGGACATTTTAGTTCATTCTCCACACCTGGTGTCCCTGCGTCGCCTGCGAGGTAGGCGCAGTGGACGTAGACGTGTACAGTAGACATTGGTGTAGCGCCACCTGGTGGCTGAAGTAGACGCAGTCGGCGAGAGCCCGGCACGACACCGCACACTCGATGTTGTTGTCTGACGTTACTGTTGCTGCCGCTTGCTGTACAAACATGTGGTCGTTCAGGTAGACGCTGTATGTGCTGTAGAGCACGTTAGATTCACCTGCAAAATAATGACAGTTATAAATGAAGTGGACCGTGTCATAATATTAAATGTCCAAAACAACAATGGCTGACACACCTGACCTCTGTTACGTTCAACACAAAATATATATAAATTATATAGTACTATGAAGTTGACTTAGTGCATCTTCCCGAAGCTAGAGAGTTAACTGACATTAAAAGTCCAGTTTCCACCCTTGCCGAACTAGGCTGGAATTACTTGGCTCGATCGTAGCGCCACCAGTGGCTATTACCATTTATGTCCCCGCTAAGCCTCTCCTATGGACCAGTCAGATTCCACCTCTCGTATCACTTGCGTGATGATACCTGACACTGCAGTAATCTAGACTTGCCAAACATTATAAACTTGCATGGGCTGTATGATATATATTTGTTTCAGGGTCTGTATGACACACTAGTCTAAGACCTGCACCACTTGGAACTTTTCTCCCACAGCAATCTGACACGGTGCGATATCACTGAAATGCTGTTAAAATCGGCGTCAAATCTTACTCATCCTGTTTCATGCATTGTAAATCACCAGAGCAGACCCTACGACTCCAGTGTAGGATCATGCACAGGTGTGCACGAAAATTACCATACAGAAATGATACAGGTGTTCGCGAAAAGCTGAGCGTATCCTGCCCCACGGTTGGTCCTCGTCACAAAAACATGCAAAGGCATGTCAATTGTTTACATGATAAGACACGGGAACACATGCTACAAGCCAAAATAGGGAACTGCATCTGACATTATTTTAGGCACAGTTTTGGAAATGTCATCCACATGTCTACCATAAAGCTTCACTAGGGTCTTGAATGTTGTAACCTTGATCGAACAACCATTGAGCAAAAGTCGTAACAGCTTGGTAGTCATTGAAATCTTTGGAGATAAAGCATGCTCGATTGTAACTCCAAAGTTGTAAAATGTAGACATGCAGGCTGGAGCTGCTGGCTTAATGACTATTGGAAAGTTGAAGTAATTCCTCTTGTCACAGATGACACAGCCTAGACGCCGCATTTCTCTGTGCAAAGTTGCGTCCCTTTGGCACAACAGAAACCTATGATCGTGAGGTTTAATCCCAGTACGCACCGATTATGTTCCTAGGCTAGTCAGCATCATATCCGTGAAGTGACCTGCATCACTTCGGACTTTCCTGTCACATTAAGCTGACACTTTGTGATATAACTGGAATACTGTTCAAAGCGGTGTTAAACTCACTCACTCACTCTTGTCAAACCGTCTTGTGGGGAGTTTCTTGTCACTCTGAATCTTTATGCATAGATGTAAATATGACACAGCTGAGGTGGTTTCTCAGGTCTCCTTTATTTCTAGTTTAGGTGGGTAAATCAGTGGAAGGGGATCGGATATTTGACCGTTATTGAACGATATCAGATCATCGATATATCTAAAGCTTAAGTTAAAGTTCATGGCCAAATTTCCTTGTTTTGATTTTGCCAATTCAGAACTTGCGATTCATATACATAAAGAAACAGATCCGCAAGAATGGAGCCCAATTGGTGCACTTGGGGATGCTTATGCTTCTTTGTCTTAATGTCTCAACCCCACATTGGCGTAGATACATCAATGAGGAAGTCCAGCATTTCACAAATTGTTTTCTCTGTAAACCTCGGAACCTCGGAAGATAGATATGTAGCTATATCTATGCGCAAAACGTTTAGTTACAAATGTCCCATGGATCAACGAATAAAGTTTTTTCTTATCTCGTTGTATGGGATAGTGGTGTACAAAGTTTAAAAATCAAATGTTTTGACAGAATTAAACTTGGTTCTTTTTCTGACATTGCACAAATTCAAACAAATTCTTTGAGTTTTTGAGAATCCTTATGGTATTAATTCCGCTTTTTTTGAATACGTTCTGTTGATATAAAGAAAGTCCTTCCTTGATTGTATTAGGGATTATTGCCCGTCAGAGATTTGGAGACAGAGATTTGGTGGTACAGTTGCTGTACCCAGAAATATATCTCTCTTAGAACGGATTTTTATGGTACAAAAGAGGGGAACACAGGTGGCCCAGTCGTCTAAGGCGCCGCGATTCGCTGTGCCCTTGGGCACGTCAGAAACCTGTGACTGTGGGTTGGAATCCAGGTTCGCCACAATTATGTTTCTAGGTTTGTCAGCACCATACTCATGCTCATGGGTTTCACCGAAGTGGTAAACGTCTGAGACCTGCATCACTTCGGGCTTTCCTCCCACATTAAGCTGACATGCCGCGATATAACTGGAATATTGTTAAAAGCGGCGTTAAACCCAACTCAGGTTTTACAGTCCAAAGTTGGTGCTACTGATGCATGGTTTCCGCAGATTTCTTCTTCAGCTAACAAAATGGCTTTATATGTGGCATTATTTGATATGTCGTTGATACCAAGTTCTTTGATAAAACAATTAACGCGTAACAATGCCTGCCTATATTGGTTATGTTACTGAGAACTTGCAAGAGATATCAACTACAAACTTTTCAAGTAGGGCAGCCAGACTTTGGTGACAGAGAGCTGAGAAAGAATGGGTTTATTCCAATTCCGTTTCCTACCAATGACAACATCACGCACTGACTGAACTCACTCTGGAACACATTCAACAGGTTCTCCATCTATTTTGGCACGTTTTTGGGAATATGCTTCAACAACATCCACAATGTTTTTTATCGTTGAAACAACACTCGGTTGTAGGTTGTTCATGATATTTTGTCCCATATTCGAATATCTGAACAAAGCGACAAAACGCTTTATATAACAAATTATCCAGCAGAAATATCTGCATAAAGCAGAGTCGATAGTACGATTCCGACTATATCTTAAGCATGTGTTTATGATTCACTATCAAATAGTGATGATACCAGAAGTAAGCGTATCCTGCCCCATCAGTGGCATCCGTCACAAACACATGCAAAGGCAAGTCAATTGTTAACTAGTCAAAATAGGGAATATATCACATGTAACCATAACAACAACCTAGATATACCAGGCCCAACACTTTCTGATATCCCGTTGTAATTTTAGCATGACTATTTTTGTATGTCATTGCTTGTGATGTATAACCTATTTTGTGTGTGACATGTATAGCGTAGCACGATCATATTGGACATATATGTGTGACAACGTACCAGTACTGCACAGCAGGTGGAAGGCTATGTCACACTCCCTGGAGTCCCACTGGTTGTCCCGGCGCCTCCACACTGCGCATGTCTGTTTGTCCAGATTATCCGGCTCGTCATCAGTCGTCACATCCCATTGCGCTGCAGTCACAGATTCACCATTGATCCAGTTAAACTGCTTGTCCTTCCCTGTGTACTCCATACCTAGCCACGCCTCCACTGAGCTGTCGGAGAGAAGAGATCAGGCTCAACAATTAAACTACATGTAACCACGCCCCATTGACCTGTTGGACAGAACACTTTAGCCTCAACAATTGAACCATGTGTAGCCACCTCCACTGAGCTGTTGGACAGAACACTTTAGCCTCAACAATTAAACTATATGTAACCACGCCCCATTGACCTGTTGGACAGAACACTTTAGCCTCAACAATTGAACTACGTATAGCCACCTCCACTGAGCTGTTGGACAAACGAGATCAGCCTAATAATTAAACTACATGTAGCCACGCCTCCACTGAGCTTTCAAACAGAAGGGATCGGCCTCAATGATTAAACTACATGTAGCCACGCCCCCACTGAGCTGTCGGACAGAAGGGATCGGCCTCAATAATTAAACTACATGTAGCCACGCCTCCACTGAGCTGTCGGACAGAAGGGATCGGCCTCAATAATTAAACTACATGTAGCCACGCCCCCACTGAGCTGTCGGACAGAAGGGATCGGCCTCAATAATTAAACTACATGTAGCCACGCCTCCACTGAGCTGTCGGACAGAAGGGATCGGCCTCAATAATTAAACTACATGTAGCCACGCCCCCACTGAGCTGTCGGACAGAAGGGATCGGCCTCAATAATTAAACTACATGTAGCCACGCCCCCACTGAGCTGTCGGAGAGAAGGGATCGGCCTCAATAATAAAACTTCATGTAGACACGCCCCCACTGAGCTGTCGGAGAGAAGGGATCGGCCTCAATAATAAAACTTCATGTAGACACGCCCCCACTGAGCTGTCGGAGAGAAGGGATCGGCCTCAATAATAAAACTTCATGTAGCCACGCCCCCACTGAGCTGTCTGACAGAAGAGATCGGCCTCAACAATTAAAATACATGAAGCCACCGCCACTGAGCTGTTGGACAAACGAGATCAGCCTCAATAATTAAACTATACGTAGCCACCCCCTAACTGAGCTGTCGGACAGAAGGGATCGGCCTTAATAATTAAAATACATGTAACCACGCCCCCACTGAGCTGTTGGACAAAGGAAATCAGCCTCGACAATCAAACTACATGTACCAACGCCCCTATTGACCTCTCGTTCAAAAGAGATCAGCCTCAAGGTTCCGATCCTCTACACATATTATAAAACTATGATGCGGTATAAACATTATACTTACTCTCCAAGATACGCCAAATATTTGTTCATAGCCTCTATGTCCTGAACAGTGTCAGCAATGGCCACCACCATCCCAAGCTCCTTACACTGTTCCCGGGCCTGCTTGAAGTTCACCTCTAGAGGCTTGTATACATAGGTCCTCACTGGGAACAAAAGCTACAGCTGATCAATAACCAACAGCTTGCAATCATTAACGTACAGGCAACTACAGTAAAAAAAAAGCGACATAACCCGTTCCGTGATAAGAAATCTCAACTAAAAGTAGAGTTCATTGCACAATTCCGACTCGATCATTGTGTTTGTTTATAAATCAATGCAAAATAGTGAACGTACCAGGTTTTCGCGGAACGCTGAGAGTATTCTGCCCCATCCATGGCACCCGTCACAAACACATGCAAAGCAAAGTAAAAATAGCGACAAAAACGTAAAGACTACTACAGTAAAAACATGGTTTTAATAACAGACAACCGCCTACAGTCAACCATGGTGTCAATAAAATACATTTACCGAAAACACTGGATAACTACATGTATGGTAGAGTCACAAGCTGATGGCACTTTTAAGAAATATGTGAACCTGTGAACTGCCAACTTGCCTTGGTTTAATCAAATAATGACCCCGAGTTTCATAAAGCTCAGTTACAGTCTAACCACCCAGTGTCCATCAGGCAACTGGTCTTGTGTCAAGCAGAAGCGTTGGCGTATTCGATAGAAACAATCACGCAGACCGACAGTCTGACACAGACAGGATGAATGGTTGGAGGATAGATACATAGACATACGGGCGGGCGGACGAATGGATGGATGGATGGATGGATGGATGGATAGGTTGGAGGATAGATACACAGACATACGGGCGGGCGGGCGGACGGACGGACGGACGGATGGATGGATGATGGATGAATGGCTAGGTTGGTAGATAGATACACAGACATACGGGCGGGCGGACGGATGGATGGATGGATGGATGAATAGGTTGGTAGATAGATACACAGACATACGGGCGGGCGGACGAATGGATGGATGGATGGATGGATGGATGGATAGGTTGGAGGATAGATACACAGACATACGGGCGGGCGGGCGGGCGGACGGACGGACGGACGGATGGATGGATGATGGATGAATGGCTAGGTTGGTAGATAGATACACAGACATACGGGCGGGCGGACGGATGGATGGATGGATGGATGAATAGGTTGGTAGATAGATACACAGATAGAAGGGCGGGCGGATGGATGGAGGGATGGGTGGATAGGTTGGTAGATAGATACACAGATAGACGGGCGGGCGGGCGGGCGGACGGACGGACGGGTGGATGGATGGATAGGTTGGTAGATAGATACACAGACATACGGGCGGGCGGACTAATGGATGGATGGATGGATGGATGGATAGGTTGGAGGATAGATGCACAGATATACGGGCGGGCGGACGGATGGATGGATGGATGGATAGATAGGTTGGAGGATAGATACACAGACATACGGGCGGGCGGATGGATGGATGAATGGATGGATGGATGAATAGGTTGGTAGATAGATACACAGATAGACGGGCGGGCGGATGGATGGATGAATAGGATGGTAGATAAATACACAGACATACGGGCGGGCGGACGGACGGATGGATGGATGATGGATGAATGGCTAGGTTGGTAGATAGATACACAGACATACGGGCGGGCGGACGGATGGATGGATGGATGGATGAATAGGTTGGTAGATAGATACACAGACATACGGGCGGGCGGACGAATGAATGGATGGATGGATGGATGGATGGATAGGTTGGAGGATAGATACACAGACATACGGGCGGGCGGGCGGACGGACGGACGGACGGATGGATGGATGATGGATGAATGGCTAGGTTGGTAGATAGATACACAGACATACGGGCGGGCGGACGGATGGATGGATGGATGGATGAATAGGTTGGTAGATAGATACACAGATAGAAGGGCGGGCGGATGGATGGAGGGATGGGTGGATAGGTTGGTAGATAGATACACAGATAGACGGGCGGGCGGGCGGGCGGACGGACGGACGGGTGGATGGATGGATAGGTTGGTAGATAGATACACAGACATACGGGCGGGCGGACTAATGGATGGATGGATGGATGGATGGATAGGTTGGAGGATAGATGCACAGATATACGGGCGGGCGGACGGATGGATGGATGGATGGATAGATAGGTTGGAGGATAGATACACAGACATACGGGCGGGCGGATGGATGGATGAATGGATGGATGGATGAATAGGTTGGTAGATAGATACACAGATAGACGGGCGGGCGGATGGATGGATGAATAGGATGGTAGATAAATACACAGACATACGGGCGGGCGGACGGACGGACGGATGGATGGATGGATGGATAGGTTGGTAGATAGATACACATATAGAAGGGCGGGCGGGCGGGTGGATGAATGGATGGATGGATGGATGGAAGAATAGGTTGGTAGATAGATACACAGATAGACGGGCGGGCGGATGGATGGATGGATTGATGGGTGGATAGGTTGGTAGATAGATACACAGATAGAATGGCGGGCGGGCGGATTAATGAATGGATGGATTGATGAATAGGTTGGTAGATAGATACACAGATAGACGGGCGGGCGGATAAATGGATGGATGATGGATGGATGGATGGATGGATGGATAGGTTGGATGATAGATACACAGACATACGGGCGGGCGGATGGATGGATGAATGGATTGATGGATGAATAGGTTGGTAGATTGATACACAGCTAGATGGGCGGGCGGATGGATGGGTGGATAGGTTGGTAGATAGATACACAGATAGACGGGCGGGCGAGCGGATGGATGGATGTATGGATGAATAGGTTGGTAGATAGATACACAGACAGACGGGCGGGCGGATGGATGGATGGATGGGTGGATAGGTTGGTAGATAGATACACAGATAGACGGGCGGGCGGGCGGGCGGGCGGGCTGGCGGGCGGATGGATGGATGGATGGATGAATAGGTTGGTAGATAGATACACAGACAGACGGGCAGTCGGGCGGATGGATGAATGGATGGATGGATGAATAGGTTGGTAGATAGATACACAGATAGCCGGGCGGGCGGATGGATGGATGGATTGGTGGATAGGTTGGTAGATAGATACACAGATAGACGGGCGGGCGGGCGGGCGGATGGATGGATGGATTGATGGATGAATAGATTGGTAGATAGATACACAGACAGACGGGCAGGCGGGCGGATGGATGAATGGATGGATGGATGAATAGGTTGGTAGATAGATACACAGACAGACGGGCAGGCGGGCGGATGGATGAATGGATGGATGGATGAATAGGTTGGTAGATAGATACACAGATAGACGGGCGGGCGGATGGATGGATGGATTGGTGGATAGGTGGGTAGATAGATACACAGATAGAACGATGGGCGGATGGATGAATGGGTGAATGGATGAATAGGTTGGTAGATAGATACACAGATAGACGGGCGGGCGGGCGGGCGGGCGGATGGATGGATGGGTGGATGAATAGTTTGGTAGATAGATACACAGATAGAAGGATGGGCGGATGGATGAATGGATGAATGGATGAATAGGTTGGTAGATAGATACACAGATAGACGGGCGGGCGGATGGATGGATGGATGGATGAATAGGTTGGTAGATAGATACAGGGATAGACGGGCAGGCGGGCGGATGGATGGATGGATGGATGGATGGATGGATGGATGGATGGATGACAGAGTGAATGAGTGAGCTGAGTGAGAGAGTGATACTATCATGAACCAATTATTTAAAAACGTATGGTGCTATCATGGACCCAGTGTTAATAAAAGAGCCATACAAACTTGGACCCAAATATCATAAAAGAGTGATACTATCACGGGTCCAGTATGTTTAAATGAGTGATACAATCTAGGACCCGCATATTATGATAGAGTTATACTACGATAGACCTGTATTTATATAAGAGTAATACTATCACGGGTCCAGTATGTTAAATGAGTGATACAATCTAGGACCCGCATATTATGATAGAGTTATACTACCATAGACCTGTATTTATATAAGAGTAATACTATCACGGGTCCAGTATGTTAAATGAGTGATACAATCTAGGACCCGCATATTATGATAGAGTTATACTACCATAGACCTGTATTTATATAAGAGTAATACTATCACGGGTCCAGTATGTTTAAATGAGTGATACAATCTAGGACCCGCATATTATGATAGAGTTATACTACGACAGACCTGTATTTATATAAGAGTAATACTATCAAGGGTCCTGTGTTTAAAAAGAGTGCTATAGAGTGATAAGAGTGCAATACTTCATGAACCCAAATATTATGAAAGAGTGCTACCATCCCAACCACCACCCCAACCCAACCCACACGACAAGCAGCTATATATATAAAGTGCAATAGTGAATGTCGTTTCTATGTTATAACTCCCGCTTCATGTTTGGGATGCATGTTTTACCTGGCAGGCGAACAGGACCGCTGTATAATAACGGACATAACTACGAAACACCAATGTCGATATGTGTTGTATGACATAACCGGAACACAAACAAGAAATGGTTCCCATGGTGATGTTTTCGATACGGGTATTAAACTTGTTTTAGGCCTCAAAATTGCAGTGTTTCAGCGACTGTTTTGATAACGTTTGTAATTTCGTTGTAAGATCCAATTTTCAAGTTTAAAGGCAGTTTCTATAAAATATCCAAAGTGGAAAAGTCTAGGATGTATAAACTAAACCTGGCAGAAGCAACAAAATACATTATTGACACATGACAACCAGCATCACGAGACATGTCAGTTCCACGTACGACCTACCTGCGGAACATGGTAAGACTCCAACAGTAACGAAGCAGAAACTACAAAACAGCAGAGCGATACATGCCTGCATCGCCGTCATTGCGCCGTCCTCAACTGCAGATGCACGGCACTAATGGCACAACTCTGACAATCGATGTCTCTCCCGTCACCAGCAGTACTGGGCCTGACGCTGACAGTCGCTAAAGCACTCAACAGGGTGCCTATGGACGTTTCTGAGAACTATTTTCGTCAGGGTTTATGTTTGCGCCCCGGGTACATGTATTTCAGTTATGTGATGGCGTGTGGGGTCAGTGTGGGAGGAAAACACGTTCCTCGACTGCATCTCCCTTAACAAATCTTAAAGTTATTATATACATGTTTGTGTCTATGTTGCCAAATCACTTGTTATTTTTACTTTAATATCATTCTTAAATAAATCTTGTATTTTTAAATAGTATCTTCCTTTAAAAATAAACTTTGGTGAAACAAGAGCAAGAGTTATGACTCACCAGTTTTACTACTTTGCTCAAACACACGTCCAAGAGTCATGAGAGACCATTCTTACCATTTTGATAAAACACACGTCCAAGAGTCATGACAGACCATTTTTACCACTTTGATAAAAACCACGACCACAAGTCTTGACAGACCATTTTTACTACTTTGGTGAAACGCTACTTTGGGAAAATAATGACAGGTGCTCATTCATGGAGTTTTTAGCGTTTCTTGCCGTTTGTTATTCTCTTGATAATTTTTCGTTATAAACTGTAAATTTATGATTTAACTCGTCACTCGAGACTGTTAATTCGCAAAGCGTTCTTTTTGTTACTTCACCAGCGTGTATTCTTTCGCTTCAGGTCTCGTAGATTTTTTTAGAATATTTTCTGTTGAAGTTGATTTTGAACCA